ACTAGTTTCTGTTGTTAAGTCGTGTTGAACTTGGTAAGACCTGTAGGTTCTTGTCAAGGGTTCTCGGAGCGCATGCTGTGAAGCTTCACAGGAACTTACAAGCACTGACATTGCTCGATGAGAAGAAGCAAAATGCCCCTACCAAGCCAAACAGCGCCGATGTGGGAAGGCAAACGAAAGGAAATCACTCACCACATGTTCACTCCATGCCCGACAAAGGATTGTCGTGATACATACCGCATCCAAAACAGCCGTCCATCCAGCAATGAACGCTGGTAATTCGCCAAGAGTGGCAAAAGAGAACTGGTAGAGGACACAGTTCTTTGGCAGAGCAGCTGTCAGCTCGGCCATATGAATGGCTGGAATTGTTGGCATCACTTGATCGAGCAGTTTATCTCAAGGTTGCTATGTTTTGAGAAGAGGTTTGCCCGGATGGGGCTCGGACCTATCAATGTTTTACCTACCCGGATTTCACCACCGATATCTTACCCTCCCTAGCGTTCAACTTACCCAATCAGAGTAGCTATTCGACATTTGCTCGGCTAACTTGATGACTGTAAATATAAATAGCCTAATCCATTGCTCGTCTACTAGTTTCGAACTACTTATTGGTACCAGAGGCTTTCATCTGTCTTACTTCGTGACTCTGTCTACAGTTTTAAGCTGTTATTGTTTGATAACTGCTGTTTAACGCCGCAGTGCGCGATCACAAGAATGCTGAGTTGTGGGCAAAAGTCGGACCACGGACGGGATTCGAACCCGCATCTTCTGCTTACCGGGCTCGAAGGCAATGGCACAAATAGCCATTGAGCTGAGTGGTCAAAAGTGGCCCCGGTAGCGTAATAGGGAACGCAACTGCCCGGTAAGCAGAAGATGCGGGTTCGAATCCCGTCCGTGGTCCGACTTTCTGCTGTACCGACTTACTGCCCAAACTCAGCATTCTTGTGAAAATCTGTCTACAGTCGTTTTATCTGCCGTCACTTGGGCTTGTCAGGAGGCAGGGTTTGCGGGTTTGACTCGGCACCGCCTTGTTCTTCCACTCAAGTGTTGAAGCGGACAAGGGATAGAACGGAACGGGCTGGGTGCCGCATCCAATCAGACGCCTACCTGTACACGCTCTTGCGTTTGCGACTTTGAACCCACGAGTACTTCACAAGTCGCTTTTGTGCAGCAGCGCGGGGCGGAAGGTAGAAGCGCTGTTGGGGCCCAAAGAGAGGATTCGTGAATCGAACTCTCGCTTCTTGCACCTTTACAGAAGAGTAATCAGCGCAGAATCAATTAATCCGTGATTTTCGCAAGTTTTTTTGATGTGATTTTGTATTTCATGGGACTAACATATACCGCTTCAGTCATTCACAAGTCCAGAAGTCGCTTTGAAAAGTAAAAGTGGTTTAGAAAGGAATCTTGCAGTCCCCCCCTCCATGAAGAATTCACTAACAAAAGGGCACAAAAACTTTAAAAACCTGGCAAGAATACATGAAGCGATGCCCGAGTGTTAAGGAGCTGGGTTTGAAATCCAGTATGTTCGACCATCGCTAGCAATTCCCCAAATATGTCGCTATATGGATTTCGCTACCCATATCCTTTCTCGTCTTCCCTCAGCATACGCTCGTACCCAACCGGCCGTAACTCGTCAACATTCACTCGCCAACGTGATGAGTTTATTTACAGCTTGTCCTAACCACTGTACTACTAGTTTTCCTTTTTCTATATAGCGCTAATAAAACTCTGGAAATCAGTATAGTAATGTCTCGAGAACCTATCACATTGAGGAGAAATGGCGCTACCCATATCTTCGAAATGCACTCACATGACATCAAGACCACCAAAAACGTCACGATAACAGCAATGAGCGTTGAAGGACCAGCCAAAGTGGTCAGTGAGAAAGGCATCAGCACGAAAAGCAGCAGTGGAATGGATGATGAGCATACTGAAACGAGAAGGAGAGTGTACAGCATCAGAACCTTCACTGAGTATTCAAAAAAAGTTTTTTCCCCCACTGCAGAATGACCTTATTCTCCTATGAAAAGATAAGAAATGAGGTCTCGGATTTTTTTGGAGAGTGGTACGCATTCCCCTCCTTCTAAAATCGCTGCTGGTTTATTGTAGGCGATCTGGCTTATGGAAACTTGCGGAAGCCAGAGGTGTACAAGTGAGAGTTCTTATCCTCCCATAAAGATCCTGGTACCAATTTACAGTGCTCGAAGTGTAGAAAGGTTAGCTGGCTTGGGCGGAAGCCGATC